CCATCCCACTGTGTAATGCCAGATCCAGTTTCCATGTCCTCCGTGTCAAATACTACTCAGACAGCCAAGCAACTGTCACAGTCACTCTCCACTCCATAATTTGCTGACATGTATTGCTCACACATTATCCCTAACCTGCGATTTTTTTATCTACTACAGTCAGCAAATAGCTTTTGGTGTCCTTTTATTTACAAAGGGACATACTCATCATTCTTTGCTTGACTTGTAATCATTAACATAAAACCATCCAGATTTATGACAACTTGGAGATGCCATGAATTTGAAATACTTATCTGTAGGTGTGCAGGCTCTCAAAAGGCAACTCCTGCTGGGTATTTACTTTAAAGTCTCTGCAACATTAGAGATGAAGGTGTAAATAGCTAACAACCAAGTGTCCTCCCTGGAGTCGTAAACAACAAGGATGAACACTGCTAAGTCCTGCAGTCATAACCAAGCTGAAAGAACTGTGCTTATCATTTTAATAATTCAGCCATAATAGTAGCTAAGAATTTTGGCAGGGCTGGTAGAAAGCTGTTCTTTCAATTGAAAAGAATTATAGATGTAGTCTGGGTGGTCGAGGACAGCATTCAGATAAAGAAAGCAAAAAGTGCTGAGCAGAGGAAGAAAAAGCCCTTCAGTATAAAAAGTACAGGAAGGTAACCAAGGAGAACAATCAACTGAAAATAAGCATGAAGTGTTCTATGCACTAGGCACTGCCAGAAACTAACAGAGTGGACAAAGAGTACTGCAGCTTCTAATGGAAGACAGATTCTGATGTGGAGACAAATCATCTGGAGAATTCAGGCCAGAAATAGCTCACTCAGCTATTGCTCAGGCATGCAGACACACTGTGGGCACACGAAAAAAATTATAGTAGTACAGAGAAGGGCAGATGAGAGTCTCCTGAACTGAGAGAGATAAGATGCTGTTTGGGTTCACCATATATAATCCTCATAAAAAGATTTTTCTCATGATCTCAGCTACTTTGGCTCCTCATCCTAGAAGTGGGCATGCAGTTATTGGGATGCTGAAAGGCAAGGAAAAAAAAAAAAGCTGGGTGCAGAAAGAGGACAGAAGATTATTCACACTTCAAAGTTATTAAGTCATTCTAAACTCCCATTAGACTGGGTTACTATGCATCCACAGCACATCAGAGAGAGAAATAAATTTTGATTACTCATATGATTGTATATCTTTAAGAGATACATATTAGTAGTAAGGTAAACGATTTTGTGCTGTCAAAATCTCTACTTGAAAACAACACATCTTTTACAATATGCCAGTTATATAACTCTACATGAATATAAAGCTAACATTCTTTGCTACGCTTAATTACTAACACAAACAGTGTACATTTCCAAAACATATCCACTCATAAATATTACTGCTGTTATACTGAACAGTTGGGAAAAGCCCCTAGCTTTGAAATATTTATATGCAGTTTAATGAAAGCAATCACCGAATCAAACATAATACAGAGCTTTATGATGTATCAGGTCATAATCTCAAGTTTCAAATGCAGCAACTGGCTATTATAAATCTACCACATTATCAGAATAAACTGTAATAGAGGGTTCTTTACAATACTCAAGAAAAATGAAACAGGTGACTTAATACATTGTAGGTCTATGTGCTGTTAAATGCTAAGCCCCTTCTGTCTCCTTTCCTTGTACTTTCTCCAAGGCTATGTGCAAGTTCCCGTAGCTGTATCACATAAATAGTAAATAGCAAATAGCCTACAACTGGCCTTTCAGACTCGATAAATAGTGTTTGAAAAGTAGGAATGAAACACAAAATGTGCATCGGACAAACACAAAGTAAGCAATTTCTAATGCAATTTTATACACCAGTGAATGGCAGATACAAGGCTTTTCTAGAGAGAGACATAGCAATATCATGAAAATAAAATTAATTTCTTAGGCAGAAGTAGGAAAAACAAATCTATTTTTAATTTTGATGCAGCTTTAAAAGCCTGCATTTACATCCAGTTTCAGATATGCATGACAAAGTTTTCATACCATTGAAATAATGACTTTAAGATTTTAAGTCTGTGAAATCTCAGCTCCTTGACAGTTAAGCAACTGCACAAAATTCTAGAATTGGTAGCTCTGAAACATCAAGCTGAGCACAGACCTGACCACAAGCTCCCTGTGCAATACTAAAGTAAACTTCACCAAAGGTACAAACAGCAGCCTATACCATGCAATTGCAAAAAAAACAATCTTTGCCAAATAGCCAAAACACTGCTGTATACATTCTTTTGAATGATAGAGAAAATACAGAGACAGAAAGTGAGACCTGGTGGTCAACATGTTTGGCTTATCAAAATAAGCTAGAAAGGCAATTAGTTTCTACTATTTCTTTTAGGATACTAAGAGCTGTCAAAAAGAACCAAACACAAACAAAATTAGAACCAATACATATGTGTATATATATGTTTCATTTTAAAAGAAATCTCTTTACATCTTCATTTCAAATCAAGTATGGACACTTTCTGAAGGTATGTATCAAGCACAACAAGCAGAACGTTTTAGTGAGACAAGTAGATGTGCTCAATACAAAGTTCAACAGAAAAAAATTGGAGGGATTTTATCAGCAGGACAGGCAGAGTATGGAAACATCAACAGAACCAATACTGAGGACAGCTTCTGGCAATTTAGAAAATCTATATGCAATGTATAGATTTTTAAGCTATTTGTACAGCCATCAGTGTGTATTTAACTCATCCATTTGTTGTCAGGGAGAACCACCACACTGTGCACAATACTGTCCTGATGCATCCACAGGACAATCTAACTAAAATAATTGGATAAGGAAGCAGAAACTAGTATCCTTGACTATCTACAGGTCTGTGACATTGAAGAAATTTCCCCCAAAAGATGAATAAAGGAAAAGGCATTAGAAATGGATCTGAAAAAGATGTGTATACTCTATATACACGTCTATAGAAACACAATACAAACATTCAGTCTGAGCAAGTTATGAAATAGAATCTGTGAGCATAACAGTTAGAGAGAAGGGCTATGAGGCCTTAAAAGAAGTGACCAAAACTTGTGCTTATATGGAAATGAGGATCTATATAAGCAAGCTTTTTGCTGATTTTGGGGCTACAAAGAAAAAACCAATCTTGAGATTTCTCAAAAATACTTGTGCATACATGTTTTCAAACTTTGAACTGAAAATGTGATACAAACATCATCATTCCAAGACCAGATGCAACACATTTCCTATGGCCTTGTGCACCATGCTGTGGGGTTGCTCTTCTGAATACTGCTTATCTTTTGAGAGGTTACTTCATGGGTTTCGGGTTTGCTCACAGAGAATCTACACACTGTGACAACTATGAAAGATAGTCATAATGGTGTGAAGGTGGCAATCCCTTCTGTGTCTTTTTTAAACAAATGAGAAACCCTGGGATCAATAACTATCAGCACAAGATATGGCCAGTGTTAGAAGTTGTTACACCACATGTAGCCACAACTACATGTGCTGAAATGTTCCCGTGAAGTCATCTTGTCCACAACTAGCACCAATCCCTTTTACTCTGAAAAATTCCTGTGTAGGAGGAACTACTTTGAGCTAGATGCTTATGTCTATTAGCCTGTTCACAATAATTAAATAGCTTATTGTTTATTTCTTTGTTAATATTCATAGTGTGAATTTATTCATCTACAGAAATGACAAGTACAACACAGAAAAATACTATTCTAGATTTATTTGGAGGCATTACCCTGTATAGCAAGGAAAAGGTATAACCAAAGAAAACAAGATATGTAACTCTTCTGAACCACCTCCAATAGGTACGCATACTTTTTCAAATTTTGGCAATGCTCTATCAGCACAGTAACTGAAAATCAGTCCTAATAATGCTAGGAAAAACCCTCCTTTTGCAAAAAGACTAAGACAGACCCTAGGCTAGAATGACAGGTTGATCAAATCAATCAGACAAAACAGAGGTTTCTTAAATATAGTGAGCAAATGATAATATTCATAGTGGGGTATTCGAAGGTTTTATTACATGTAATACAGATTACTTGGGAAATGCTGCAGAATTGTGTGTACCTCTGTGTTAATAATACACCATTCTTTGTTACTGAAAAATCCAAAGTAAAAAAAGAACTTAGAGCAAAATTTAAAACTTTCAGGATACGTGTGATAAAGTGACATCGCTCTTGCAACAAGGGGATATATGCCCTGGTGTTCACTTTTAAGTCTACTGTGGCTGTTTAGTTGGTGCTTTGATTCAACACACAGTTTCTCAAAGCATATTAAATTTTTTTAAAAAAATAATTCAGGGAAGAAGCCTACTGTGCATGTATCAAGGCCACAGAACAGCCGTGCAATTTAGATATGGTTTACTCATTTCTAACCGCCCATCTTCACAACTGTTGGTTAGGTCACATCAGAGGAAATGAACAAAAGCAACTATTACAAAATGCCTTCAAATATCAAAGGTGTCTTTCTACTTTTAAGCTTATAAACATAAAACAACAACAAAAAAAATAAGAAGACCCAGTTATTTTTCTGATGTGGCTTCTTAGATGTTTTTCAGCCTAGCCATTTGACTCCCATACCATGAAGTTTGGATATGCATAATAATCACTGGGCCCCTGAAATATATCTGGTTTCCTTATCACTTTACAGTAAATCTACTTCAGACCAAACTTAGCTGTTTTACACAGTGAGCCAAAACATTTACAACTACTTTCAAGCAACTGAAAATGACAAACTGCAGCTAAAGCCCCTCCCCTCTCTCCCTGGCACACATACTTTAAAGGTATTACTTGAAAGTTAACCTAACATCAACATAGCAATAAAAACTTTTTAAGGCTTTTGCTGAAAACATTTACCTTAGTATGATCAGCTTATTACAAGACTTGGCTTTCTAATCAAAATATGAAGAACTGTCTGTCTCCATAGACTGGAGCTGTCTTTTTAGGATTGGTCCTTGCTTTAAGCAAGTAGTGAACATAGGAAATACTTGCATCCTGAAAACTCACCTTCTAGTAAGTCTCTTGCCAGACCTGGTTCTGCCCCTGTGGACCGAACAAAGTCTGACAGGACTGCATCCATATCAAGAGTCATGTGATCATTCAGAGTTGCTGCCAGACATGCAGCAGCAGTAGGACTCGCTGGCTGGCTAGAAGGTATCCATCTGCCAAAGAGAAAAAGAGACAGGATTTTAAAATATACTCAAAAGTGACATGAACTCTCTCTTCCCCTCTTCCCCAAAGAAGACTATTAAAAATACTAAAACACACAAGGTACAGCATATGAAAATAAACAGCACTTATCAGCTATCCTTGCCTTAGTCTAGACACTGTTGATCATTCACACTGGAAAGTACTGTCTGTCTTAACATTTCACATTTTTAGTGATTTTTCTTATATGCAGCTTGTAAATAATTCTGCAGCTTGAAGACTCCAATCCAGCTAAACACAAGCACTGGTCACTCAAAGCACAATCATCATATCATTATCACTGCTCACACACTGAAGTTTAGCAAGCATTTAAATGCTTGGCTAGATTAGAGTTCTTTTACCTTAATTACTAATATATACACAACAGAGATTAGTCTTTGTTCTTTTACTTGCTTTGTAAATACCAGTTCTGTAATTTATAGTTTCTCCACTGTACTAGGTCTGTCTGGGATGAAGTTAGCTTTCTTCATTAATTTTCTAGAATTGTGGCTAAACCAGCATTGATAAGGCATCAATATTTTAGTTATTGCTAAGCAGTGCTTACGCAGCCTCAAGGCTTTCTCCATTTCCCACTCTGTCCCTGCGCATCAGTTGAGAATTCCTGGCTCCCATACATGAGATGATTAATTGATGAGAGATCCAATGAGTGAGCCACAAGACTTGCTCATGATGTAAAGTCCCATATGGCCAGTGTGAAAGTTTGATGATGAGTAGAGGCTAACAGTGGACTACTGCAGCCTGAACAGTCATGCCACCATTGTGTGCTACTGTACCAGCCATGTTAGAACCCCTCCATGAACTGGAGTTAAAGGCAGTTATTGAGTGGTACGCTACAACTGACATGACCTATGTGTATTTCTTGATTCCTTTGGCAGCAGACTGTGGGCCACTTTCCTTTCACAGGTAGGGGATGGAGGCACAGCACTACTATTTCCACGGATAGATACGTACTGCACAGGAAAATGGTAAAGTCCCCAAACACTCACAGTACATTGACATAATCACTGTATGGGGCAATATAGTGAAAGAAGTGTTTGAGAAAGGAAAAGAATAATTGAAATCCTTCTGAAAGGTACCTTTGCCATAAAAAACAAAGCAAGTTCAAAGGACCTGCACAGTAGATCCAGGTTTGATGAGTAAAAAGGCAAGATGGACATAATATGCAAATCTCAATAATGTGATCAATAATGTAACAGCCATAATCCCACTAGCTAATAAAAAACACAAGCTCTCATAGGCACTGTGGTTTTCTGGCGAATGCATATTCCAGGTTACAGTCAGATTGTGAGGCCTCTTTATCAAGTGACATGAAACAAGAACTAAATTCAGCTGGAGTCCTGAGCACTGATAAGCCTTTCAAATGGGAGATAATATGTACGGTAGCCCCTGGGCCACTTGAGTCCTTGGCTTCTACTGGAGCCTACGGGAGAAGACACTCAGAGATGCTTGAGGTCAGTCCCCAGGGTTTTGAAGCCAAGTGTACAAATGATCCAGGGTATTTGGTATATTTTTAGCTTCCTCTATTATAGTTTTTCTATAGTTGAATTTTCAGTGGAGAAGCCACCTCCACAAACTGTATCAGAAATGCCCATGACAAAAACACAGTATAAAGAGTTGGACCAATTGAGGCCAGCTGGGAGAGGCAGAAAGGAAGGGTCTGGAAGGGCTTCACCCTGTTCTTCCTCTGAGAGATGCAATTAGAGTACTAGTTATGTACACAAACATTGTACATAAAGGGATTTACTGGTTTTACTTCTAATTCCCCATGCTCCCTCAACACTCCTGACCCAACCCAGCCATCTATCCAGGGCTTTCTGGAGTAGTTATTATGTAACACTAAGCTAACCATAAGAGAAAAGCACAAACATTTTTATCACACAAGTCAACGATGTCAGGTTTCCTTCCTGGAAGGATTTGCCCATCCCAAGTCAAACAGACAGCAGCTAACTGTATGAAAACCAGCATCACGCCACCAGTACATCCCTGCATGGGATATCAGTAGCCAGCTTCTAGCAGCAGGGGTTGCTGGGTGGCCTCTGTGAGCAGAGGTCAAGGCTGTCCTGTGCTGGACACAGCCAGTTCAGGCTGGTTCCAGCCAGCTCCGCAACTACCCACAGCAGGGCACAGCTGAGCCCAGCAGCCAACCTGGTGGTACCTCTATAAAAACAGTCCAACTTCACAGGAAATTAGAAGGTGAATTTTAAAAGAAAGAGGAGAAAGAAGGGACTGATGTTACAGTAATTTATAAGTTTTGTTTTCTTATTTTATTTTATTGTATGGTCATTTATTGGTGACTAACACTGGAGCTGCTCTACAGTTTTTACTGTTTTTGAACAGTCAGACACACACATATACGCACAACCTTACCGGAGTACTCTTCTGGGGGTAGCAAATCACCCCAGGGACCCATTAGGAAGTGGATCATGTTTTGCCTGAAGGCCTGGCAGGGGGTTTTTACTTGCCAAATCCACAGCTAAGAAAAATACATCCACCCTACTGCATTTTGTACCTAATTTTTTGTTCCCAAAAAAGTGAAACCCAACCTTCTAGGCAATGTTGACTACAAATATCAAACTGAAATTGTAGCAAGCACTTCAAGAGTAGCTGGTGCTAGACAAAGTATTAAGACAGCTGGCATTCAAAGCACAGTCATATGCTAAAGGCATCTCCATACTTCTGTCCTGCCTGCACCACTGTAGAAATAGTGCAAAACAAAAAGGATGATGTTAAATGATACACAACATAAGCAAAAGCATATGTTTTACATTCATGCTTGTTACTCATCATTGGTTTCAATTTACCTCTGAATGCGAATTTGATGTTTCCTGTTAACTTCTCCCCATAGGCTCAGCTGCAACTTTACCACGTGCCAAGGGTAAGGACTAGCATGGAGATTTCCTACTGGCAGACGATGATATTGGCTGGCTCTTGCTTATACCACAGCTACAGAGAAATAAACTGTGAAAGAAATTTGAAACCAGCTGATTTCACTGTTCCCCAAATAAAACACAGTCCTTTCCTACTCGATCTGCAATTGCCTGGTTATTTGACCTTAAAAATTGAATGTCTTTGCTTTCTTAGAAATTACCTCTTTCTGCAAGTACTTATCCCAAGTAAAATAAAAGCATCATTTTACTTCTGCCCCAAGAAGGTGGGGTCCTTCTCAGCCTCATCCATGAGGACTGCCTGTATAACCCAATTTACACCAACAAATTGGAAGCACGGGGATATGGTTACACAATTACACGTTTTTCAGGATCCAAGTAGATTACGCTGGTGCTAATCCTACCCCCACTTCACAGCCATCTGGCCCCTACACTGTACCATTGTACGTTTTATATCACTTCTACATTTATGCTTTTATACTATTTACACAGCTGTATCATTGTTTGGGTCACATCAGGTTAGGAGGGGAGGTGATTCTTTTGTCTCTATGCAGCCCTTGTGAGACTCATCTGGAGCGTTATGTCCATTTCTGGCTCTCCAACACAAGAAAGACATGGACATACTGGAGCAAGTTCAATGAAGAACCACAGACTGCACATCTGGATCACCACTGGATAAGGGAATCACTTCTAAAATGCAACATAATGAAGATGCAATAACAGAAGGAAATCTGGAAACATTGAGGAGGCTGAAAAGGAATAGTTGAAAAGGAATACAGACACTTCAGGAAGAGAAATACCTTAGTGAATTATGGCCAAATTCGTCATCTAACCTTTGTAGCAACTGAGGCTGTTTCAATGTAAATGCAGGACAAAAATGCTACTTTTATTTAAAAAGCACCAATATCTATACAAATAGATCATAAGAAACTGAATACAATTAATTTCTTTAGAGACTTGTAGAAAGAATGAAGTCTTAACCATCAGGATGGAAAGACGTGGATATAGCTAAAAAAAACCTGTGGCAATCATAGAAAGCATAGAATCATAGAGTCATAGGGGTTG